CCCTGAAGAAAAATGAATGAAAATTGAATTCCCCAAGGAGAGTAGGGAGCTGTTACCCAGACAAAGATAAATCAAAGGATGCCACAGAGCTGGGAGAGCAGGTTTCCAACAGCAGGAGAATAATTAAGGAAACAGTTTCATAATGCAAATGACAAGAGAGGGTTTGAGAGGAATGAGGACAAGGAGATGATTAGAGATGAGGTCTGGTGGAGCAGGGGCAGTGAGAATCCTCAGAGCGAAAGCAGCTGGGGTTCAGCATTCCTAGCATCTAAGATACTCTATGAAGATCTTAAAATGTGTTAGAAGACACTCAAGTCTGCTGTGTAGAGCAGAGAGAGCACCAGATTGGGAGTCAAAAGGGTGGATTCAATTTTCATTCTTCTCTGCAACTTATTAGTTGTGCGACCTCAGGCAAAGCACTTAACCTCTCTGATTCCTGGTAATCATACCCAAGCACAGGCATAATTATGAAGATCAAATGAGATTTAAAAAGTGGAAGAACTTTGTAAAATGTAAAGTGCTAGACAAATGTAAGCTATAATCCTTTTCCTAAATTATGTTTTTTCCCCTGAAAATTGGATCCATTGGTATATTGGGCTTGATTTCCAGAAATGAAATGGTTTGGTGTCTAGAAAGTCCTAGATTCTCTGTACTGGGCATGCAATTGATTTCTCTAACACAGCTTAGACCGAAAGAGGCTGCATCACTGCTGGTCCATACTCCAGGATCTCCCCTCCAGTGGGGTCCTAGCCCAAAGAGGGGGGTCTAAAGTTGGCTGGTCCTGAAGACCATTGTTCATAGGGGAGTCACTTGACAGTCCTGGTGGATGTCAGTGATAAGAGCCTTCTAGTCTGCTCAGAGATTTAAATCTAAATTGAGTTCCACCCCAGGGGCTTCCTGCACCACCTTACAGTAGAGATGATCTGATCTCTGCAAGAATCAACAGTTTTCCTATTCTTGGGGCGACAGGAGGCTGTGCTAGCCTAGCCCCTGCTAGCCTGTATTTTCATCCACTGAGTAGGTGGATTACTTTGAGGAATACATGGAATTATGCAGGTAGAAGCACTTACTTTGACGTTTGGTACAGTTATAAATCTATTAGAAACTTTCAAATAAATATTGGTTATTATTATCTTCATATGCTATGATGCTATTACTATAAGTCCCATTAGCATCAATAAGCACTAAGCAATTCGTGTAATGAAAGCTCTGTGCTAGGATTTCCCTATTGCATACGAAGAAGCTTCCCTTGGAGAGAAGTGAGATGGCTTGGGACAGGGAAATGTCCTTCACTGTCCTTGGGAAAGGGAGGCAAGAGGTCTGGGAGCAGCCGCCCCTAGGTTCAAGAACTAAAAGCCACGCAGACGTCACAGGCTTCCTCTGCCAAAGAACAGAGGTGAAAGCAGCCTCTCCTGCATCAGCCCTCAGCACCGAGCAGCCCCACCACAGTGATGCTGTCCCTTTACCAGGGAAAGACCAGTGACATGCAAACAGAGAAGAAGAGAGCAGGACCCCAGCAGGTTCGAACTAGGGGAGGGGGAGCTGCAGAGAATATTTTAGAATATAGTTTTAAATTATAAAAGTAATTACCATAGATGCTCTAATTTCATTGCATGTTATCTTTTACTAATATTACTGAAAAATATGACCACTTTACAGAAAATATGGAAAAGAGGAACTAATGCTTCATAATGTATCTTCGTAATGTACTTTAAAACCATATATACTGTTAAGCTTGGGATGGTGCTGCATGCCTAGAATCCCAGCACTTTGGGAGGCTGAAGCAGTTCAAGCCCAGGCAGGCTGGGCAATTAGCAACTCAGTGAGCATTTGTCTCAAAATTAAAAATTGTAAAAAAAGGTTGAAAATCTCAGGGTGAAGATTTGGGGCTCAAATCTCAAAACAAAAGCAAAAAACAAGAAGAAAAAAAGTGTGCATAATACCTGCTTATAATCCCATGACTTTGGAGGCTGAGGCAGGAGAATCAGAAATTTAAGCCCAGTGTGGGCAAGTTAGCAAGACTGCCTCAAAACGAAAAATAAAAAAGGGGTTGGCAGTGTAGCTCAGTGTGAATGTCCTGGGTTCAACCCCCAGTACAATCAGTCAATCAGTCAGTCAGTCAGTCAGTCAGTCAGTCAGTCAGTCAATCAATCAAGCTCCTTGGCTAGGAGTGCAGCTCATCGCTCCCTGGGTTCAATTTGTCAGATTAATGACACATATATTCATACATACTTTTAGTTTTGAGTAGTACTTTGATGCAGTTCTGAGTTTACCTAATATTAAAAACAATTTTATTAGTTTTCTCTGCTTTAGAAAATAATGTGCTCTACTGAGGAAACTGCAAAAAAATCCAATGTACAGATAACCCCTTTTACATTTCAGCATATTCTTTTCTACTTAAGCTTCTTTTATAAAAAGCTCCTAAAATTTAGAGTGCTTTGTGTACTTTCCCCATTCCTAATGTCTTACAGTTTCCTACATTATTAAATATCCTTCTATTATACTATTTTCATGACTTTGTAATATTTTATTTTACTCTAATAATTTCCTATTGTTCGACATCTATTTATTTATGGTTCTGGGGTTGAACCTAGGACTTTATGTGTTCCACCACTGAACTACACCCCTGTTGCAAGATTCTCTTTTTATAAAATTATAAACAGTTTACAGCTACATGTTTGTAAATATTCTTAATCATTTTCCTTGGACACATTTCTATATGATTTAGGTCAAATCCATCACACATTTGGGCTAGAAAACATATTGTCAAAATACCATTAAAAAACATTTCTTCTTTTTCTAACCACACCAGAATTTTTTTTTCTGATTTTTCCACATCATACTTGACAATGGATATTATCACTGCTTTTTATTTAATATATTCACATATCATACATTTATAACCATATTACTGTGTCCTGCTCTTTTAAAAATTATCATTTCATAAGCATGTCCAGGCTGTTAGATTTTTATAATTGGTTTTAAGGCATATACGAGATACTATAAGCAAATTTGACTTGCTCCTCTAAATCACTCTTTTGGTTGAACATTTATTTTTCTCCAAAGAGTAGGACTAACAAACATCTTCATGCATGGAACCTAAAAAGAAAAGTCTAAATTATTTTTGTGGAAAATATTCTCAAAAGTGAAATTACATGACAAATTTGTAAGTTCTGTACATATTGCCAACTTGCTTTCCAAATGAGAGTTAGGAGTTGGGAAGCGCAACAGCAGTATTTGCGAGTTGCGATTTCTAAGCACCTTCACAGGCTCAGAAGTCTACGATTGTCCTCTACTTGATCATTTAACAGACAAAGAGAAGTATGTACTATGTTGTTTGCATGTTTTCCGTTGCTAATGACGCTGACATTTCCCGGTGGTTGTTTACTAGCTATATTTTTCTAGAAGAGATTTTGGGGGGAAAAAAAGAAAGAAAAGAAAACATTTTCATAACCATCGAAAACATCAGCAGGTTCTTTGCTGTTTATCTTGCACAAATTCTCTGTCTCGACCATCGAAGCCTGCTCACAGGTAAACAGAGGAAGCTGGTGCCAGCCCAGTTCTAGGGCGCCTACAATTCACGGTGACCTCACTGGAAACGCGTTCTAAGCAGCGCAAAGGGTCAGGTCACCTCCTCCGCCCCCATTGTCCCTTTTGCCAGCTCTGGAAGGTGAGCTGGTGTCCTGGTCTGTGCCCAGCGCCAGAAAAAAACAGCTGCTGCGGACGCTCAGCAAGGCGAGGAGGGCACGCAGTCTCTCTTCCAGCCCAAACGGGATCCCTCTGGGCTGGGGTGAATATCCATCACTTCTAGGATGAAACTGGGGATGGTGGTGTTGGGGGCGGGACGCTGGAATCCCGAGAGCCACCAGGCCTGGCACCGGCGGGGTGACTCTCGGTGTCCGCAGCCCGGAGGCGTCGAGGGTCTGCTGAAGCGTAGAGGACTTCCGCGGAGACCTTGTTCCCGAGCTAGGCCTGGATTTATTTCTGCTAGAAATTTGCGAGGAGGAGAATCTGTTTTAATCGTGTCTGCGTGTGTAGACGCAGCAGCCCCGCCAGCGCCCTAGCGGGTGGCCCGGGTGCCGGGGGAAGCGGCCACGCTGCAGGCACGTGCCCGCGCGAGGCTCGAAGCGCGCGGTGGCAGCCCGGCCGTCTGCGGGGAGGAGGGGCGGGCGGGGGGCGAGGCA